AATACAAAACATGAAATTTTAGTTCGCAGGTCAAAATATATGCAATTATTACGCATGCCAATAAAATAAAATTGACTTTGCGGATCGGGATATGATATATTTACCTTTATAATAAAAATTTTGTAATTCGAGTAACTGGAACAAACTCGAATAAATTAACTAGATCAAATGATTCGAGTATTTGAGGTTAATTCGTGAATTACGAGTTGACACGAGTCCAATCATTACCTACCATAAATATTTACATTCCTAAAAAATCATACTTAATAACAATTAAATGTATACGAATATATTTATACCGCAATATTCAGAGATAGTAACCACAAAATCATCCTGTGCAAACACTCATAATATTTAAAATAAAAAAAGACAAGGGAAAATAAAATAAAAAATAAGCAAATTAATACATTTTAGGAATATTTGTTCAAATTAAGCGATTGGAATTCTGCAATATATAATATTGAAATTACTGAAAATTACTGAAACTAGCATCGCACCGAAATGTTTATATTATTAATTTGGTTTAAAGTTGTATAGTAAAAAAGCATAAATGGAATTAGGGAGAGTTCGTGACGTGTCGACCGTTATAGTAATAATGAACCAAATAAAGACATTCATACCTAAAATATAGGGTAAAATATAGGGTAAAATATAGGGTAAAATATAGGGTAAAATATGGTTAATTATACCCTTTCAATCATCAATAATAACAAAAATGATAGAATAATGAAAATAAAAGAAAAAACCAATCTCGAAACATACCTTGAAATCAACGGATAAACGTAATTCAGAAAAACATAACTCCAAATAGGAAGGCGCCAACTGCAGCGCCAACCACCACCTCAAACGGGTAATAACCTTCAGGAATTTTTTCTTGAGTCTTGACGGAATAACCACCAATGGCAGACGCACTATGCCTGTTCGATGAAGCAGCAGCTTCTTCACTCTTACGTTGTCTCATCTGAGCTGTGTTCAATTCTTGTTTGTAGTTTTCAACCATGTGATTCAAACGATCAATCTCCTCCTTTGCTTCAAGCAATTGTCGTCGTAATTTTGCAGGATCATCATCGTCTCTGAAGGGCTTAGATTCGAATGCATCATCTTTAGGGAACGCGCCAACGATTGCAGGCGTACGTTGTGTAGTCGAGTGACCATTTGTGGTGGCCGCCTGCGTTAAGATCGATTTGTCTGAATGTCCCAAAGAATTCTTTTCAATTGAATAAATATCATTTGTGTATGGTGGTGGTAAAGGTTGATCATTCTGAAATTTTGAAATATATTGACTATTAGCATCTTTGAATAACGAAAATATAAAAGATATATGCTTACCTTCAATTTTTGAGATTCAGAATAGGCACTGTCCCCTGGTGGTGGACTTGATGGAGCAGCTGGAATGGATGGTTGAACTGGGAGAGGTTGATTTGGAGATGACAATGTTGGAGATAAGTTATTTCCAACTGGTGGTAAATATACACATCGGATCTTGTTTTCCTTGATCGTATCTTTTGATTCTCTCTCCGTTATAGCCCACTAAATCAAATAATTACGAATAAGAAAATAAGTGTCATTAATTAAACATCTTACAAGAGTTTAAATACTAATGATATTTATAATTTATTTAATTTTTTTTTTTTTTTACCAGTTCTTGTAAAGATAATGTTTCACGTTCTGGTGTAATTCCTATACTTTGTACCAAAAACTTGTCTTTACATTTAAAATCTGGGGGTGGATCTTCTTTCATGGGTTGAAGAATAACTATTTTGAAATCAATGCCGTTAGCGTAATTCAAGCGTCCCTCTTCTCCAAAAAGAAGGATAAGCGAATTAATTTGAATAGTTTATGCATGCCTTGAACCTCAACACTCTGATTTGGCTCAATTCGACCCGAGTTTGGCCTCACACAGTACTGTTTAGGAGCTGTAGTTTTAACTTTGAATGCAACTGGTTCATGGTTCGGATTACGTACAACAAGAACCTCTTTAACAAGTTGTGTAAAAGGACCTATATTTTTTTAAGACAAAATTCCAAATATTATAAATCATTGCCTATACTATGCCCGCGGTAACTAACAAGCTTCTCACTGTCCCTCATTACTTGTTCAAATCCTCAAAGCAGATATACAAACATTTCAATTTGTACAAAAAAGCAATTTTTTTAAATCTGCTTTTAAAGCTCGTTAGACCATAAAGCAAATACTTACGATGAAAAGAGAGCTGGGATTGTGGCTCAAGTTCAATTGACATGTTTTTAATGCGTTTTTGCTGTCAAAAAATCTTTAATTTTTAGTTAAAGTGAATCGACAAAAAACTTTTTTATCCTTCTTTTATTATAAACACAAACTTTCTAGGCGAGTTGGACGCTTTGTCGTCAACGTTGAGAGATATGTTTAAAGCAACTTAAAGGATGAGAGAAAAGTAGGTTTTGCGAGATGAGCAGAAATATATTAACAATTTAGAGTGTTACAGCATCTTTTATACGTATATAGTTTTTTTTTTTTTTTTTGAAATGGCTATGACCACAATAGAATGCGGTTTGCGTAACCATATTTGGTAAGATACAAGTGGGTTCCGTATACATCATCGAACCGTCAAGGGGGAGAGCTGAGAATCTAGTGTGTAGTTAAGACTAAAGTCAAACAATGCAAACCTCACATCTCGCGATACCACTAAAAGAAAATCACTATTCGTACTTAGTTCCCAATTAGTAACATTTACTACACTTTTCATTGTGTTAGTGAAAAGATGCACCTACTTTGACACTACATTATAGTTTGTATAGAGGTAAAAAGCTAGCTGTTAGTGACGTAACAATTCATAAATCGAGACAGAGATGACACGTTATACCAGTATACGTATTGGACATTTGGACAATTTGGACAATTTGGACATTTGGACAATGTTCAATTTGGCATTACGTTAAAATTTTTATTGGACATAAAAATATTTTGTAATAAATAAATTACTCCAATAAGTTATCAATTTTACTACGCAAGTAAATTCTTATTTTATTAACATTTGAAAGTTTCAAAAAAAAAATGCAAGAGTTAACTGTTAAATAATACGTAGAAAGTTGTTTGATCTGTATGAAACTTTTAAAATATATGTATTTTAATCCTCCGAACAGCTTTTATTATTTATTTAGTAAAATTTGACTTTTATATATTTTTGTTTACAAAATCGTCCAAAAAAAAAAAGGTAAAAAAATATTATCGTTATTGAATTTCACCAATAAAATTATTGGACATATATTCAATTAGTTGTAAATTTTATTGGACATTGACTGATGTCTAATGGTCCAAAAAATTATTATATCGTATCATTATGAATCCTAACTGTACCACTTCGCACGATAAAAATGACAACCAACAAACGATTAGAGCTTCAGACAGCATGAACCTAGGTTCACAAGCAAACGAACCTTCGCAACCTTTAACGGCTATTCTTTTACCACCAAATTATCTACCTGCCAAAAGTCAGGAAAAAAAAAGTTCTATCACGAAAAATCAAGAGGTTAATAACGCCTCGTATAAACCTGGTGGATTGCTAAATTATGAATACCCACTTCATGTGCTACCAGACGATTTAAAGCCAAACGCTTATAGACATAGACTATCATATAATGCATTGCTTGATGCTTATTACGAGAACGGAGCTATGGATAATAAATACTTATTAACATGGCATAAAGGTGCACTTCGATACGATAATATTTATTACAAGATCGAATATGATTGGAGAATGTAAATCATTATATTCATCTGAAATTCGTGATTTTATTGTTGGAACCTAATGAACGGTTCTATTTAACAGGTGCTACTTGTCTCGTGACGAAGACAGAGGATTAGACCCCGGTGAAATAATGTGGAGATTTGATTATAGGCCGGGCAAATTTATTGTTTCCAACTTATTTTTGAAATTGCAACATGACGTTTTTAATCATGATGCAATTGTAAAATGGTCAATCTCCGCCTTACCAACAAGAAATAATGTCAATCCTATTTATCAAACAATTGAATTCACATCAAACACACCTATGGTGGATGCAACATCTTTTATAAAGGGAGAATATGGCTTCATCTTGAGAGCCCACTTGAGAGGAGGAAATAGACCTGAAATCTCATGGCAGTGGACTCAGCTTTTTCGTTGTAAACTAAAAGACACTTCGGGTCTTTCTTTAGAGGAGGATTGTGGACTGGATGTAAAAGTAGAGCTGGTTCCAGATATAATTTGTGATCCACTTCCTGAAGTAAAATATGATCTTGTGTTAAATGACAGAACCACTAGTGATTTTGTTATACATTTGGAATCAAATAACAGCGAAGATAGCACCAAACGGGAAAAGCTAAATTTCTATGTCCATTCTAACATTCTTGTGGAAAGGTCTGATTATTTTAGAGCATTAATAGATTCACACATGATAGAGTCTAATGAAAGGTCGCTTATTCTTACTGATATCACACAAGATTCTTTGGAAGTTATACTTAATTATATTTATGTTGGTGTACTACCTAAAATCACAACTTATAATAAGTGGGTTGAATTACTTCATGATGCTTCGAGATTCTTGATCCCTACATTAATTCAAAGGTGTGAAAAGGCGCTGAGAGATCTGTTAAATAATGACAACTTGGATGCTACCAAAGATTTCGCGGAGGAATGTGGTGCTAATCAATTGTTAAGATGTTGCGAAATGGTTGAAGTGGAGAATATATGAGTTTATGCTGTAAATAAGTGTTAGAGTGTTAGGTAATTATACCCTGTTATAGGTATACTGTTAAAGGGTTTTAAAATGTAGTCATTGTATAATACGATTTGATTTATTATTATTATTATATTTTGTAACCAATAACCATTAACCGCCTTAGTCGGCTCCATGAAATAAATCACTTGTCGCAAAACTCGGAAAATAAGCACTACACAATTTTACGGTAATTATAATTGACGTCATAATTACTGAATTGCGGAATTGTCGCATTACATTACGGTATTGCAGTGTTTTACCTATATGAGTAATTTATTTTGAAATCGGACCAATTTTAATATGACGTAACAGCATTTTTTGGTCTGGATTCAAAAATAATTACCCCATATTGTTAATGTGGAAGTGCGGAATTGCGTCAACTGACGCAAATAAATTGAGGCGTCAGTAAATTTAACTCTTCACTGTGTACTTATTAATCCGAAATATAAAGCGCGTCATTTAGTAATTGAGTCTGGGGCAGTGTTTAAAATTACCTTGCACAAGATGCACATGTGCAGGTAGTTTTTTTTTTGCAAGA